TGGCACAGTTTTGAGGGCCCTAATCTCTGTTTTCATCGATGTTGGTTAGTGCGATTATATAAGTACTTGTCTTGTCAGTACGAGTGCAAGGCAAACGCTACTTCTTGGTTGCGTGTTTTCTGAGCCTACCTTAGCATCTGAACAACGCTGGCCCAGCTTTGCGCTCCGCTTCGTGCTGCCTGCCCCACAAGTTCGGCGTTGATAAAATAACAGAGTGGGCCAGGTCCAATAGCGAAGAATATGATAAACACGCAAATAACGAATATCAGAATGAAACCCAAAATGTTGTGCTGAATAAACTATTAGAAAGCGTCTCTCCAAGTTTAGACATAGCAAACTTACACCGTATTTGCCAAAAGTGAACATTAATAAGAAGATGAGGAAATTGCAGAATAAGCAACCAGTAAAAGCTAGCAAAAGCAGTGGGCGACGACCAAACTTGTCTATGACCGTTGAAGAGATTACGATTGCAATCTGAATAGTAATAAGGATTAGGAAGACAGAATCGTTTATATTAATGAGTTGATTGAGGTGAAGGACGAACCATGCTAACAACTGCGATCATGACGTTGGCAAGAGATGCTTGCAACGAAGTCAACCCAGTGCCTCTCAGAATTTCAACAGCATAAGCATTGATCACTGAAAATCTGTCTCATGACATACTAGTGTTGCTTGAAAGAGTATTCGTGCCCGAGCCTTCTGAACTGAATGTCGCGCTAATCTACCCTAACTTCAAGAGTACACAGCGCACTCTTGATTTTCAAACCATTCACGACAAGGCTTATTTTCCGATTATTGCTGTTACCAGAGCTTTTTTCGCTTTGTCAAACACCACCCACTCGTGGGTCGTCATGTCCGAAATGGTAGTATTCTGGAAAAAATATCAAAACATGTAAAATTTCCCAGAGGAATTATCGAAGGCGCTAGTTATCATAATATGCTTTATTCCAGTCCTTGGCATTGAGGATAAGATTTCAGTAGTCATCCTGAGCGAAGCCAACATTACGAATTTTAGCGAAAATTTTTGCTTTGCGGTTATTTCACGTGGTAATCACGATTATAGTGTCCACTTTGTTCGCTACTGTCTCACAGAGGG